CTCTGTAATGTATTGGGGGATTAAATTTGGATCCAATATTTAGAGCACTAGTTCTCTCTAATCTGAGGCATTTTAATTGATCAGGCATCTCGGCGAGGGTCTGATAGGCCCTTAACAGGCTCTGAGTTTGGGAGATTTAGTGGTGGTGGGATCAGGAGGTGAAGGAGATTACGAGGGATCTGCGTGCGGTGAATTGTTTTGGAAATGCGACATTAATGAACGGTGCCGCTGTGATGCGCCGCATTAAACAGAGAACATTTTAATCTCTGTAGCTGAGATCAACACCAACACCTCAGGGTCACAGGTTGTGATGCTTTCTTCAGAACAGGTGCCAGATTTATCAGTTCTTATAGGTGAGTTTCCTTTTAGAGGTGGGCGATACGTATACTGATACTTTTCAGAAGATGAGTATATAATATTTAGTATTTCTGAGGTTTGATAAGAGCAGAGTACACTGTTAGAAATAAAGGTTCTGTGCAGGTTCATTTTCCATTAATCGAGGTACAAAATGTTCTCTCAAAGCTCCAACAGTGGTTTTAAGGTCTGATTGAGAACCTTAAATAAGTTTTTCCAGGTGAAAAGTTCGTATTTGTAGCTTTTCATAACCGAATGTTTTAAAACAGAACAGTAAAATAAAAGCCTGGAGACGAGACGGGGTGTGTGGAGTCAGTACAGCTTAGAACATATCATTTCAGTGGATTATGGTCCAGTTAACATAACATAATGACCACCTCCTTGCTTCTACGCTCATTGTCCATTTTATCAGCTCCACTTACTATATAGGTGCACTTTGTAGTTCTACAGTTACAGACTGTAGTCCATCTGTTTCTCTGATACTTTGTTAGCCCTCTTTTACCCTGTTCTTCAGTGGTCAGGACCCCCATGGACCCTCACAGAGCAGGTACTGTTTGGGTGGTGGATCATTCTCAGCACTGCAGTAACACTGACGTGGTGGTGGTATGTTAGTGTGTGTTGCGCTGGTCTGAGTGGATCAGACACAGCAGTGCTGCAGGAGTTTTTAACCACTGTGTCCACTCACTGTCCACTCTATTAGACACTCCTACCTTGTCAGCCCACCTTGTAGATGTAAAGTCAGAGACGATAGCTCATCTGCTGCTGCACAGTTTGTGTTGGTCATCCTCTAGTCCTTCATCAGTGGTCAGAGGACACTGCCCACAGGACGCTGTTGGCTGGATATTTTTGGTTGGTGGACTATTCTCAGTCCAGCAGTGACACTGAGGTGTTTAAAAACTCCAGCAGCACTGCTGTGTCTGATCCACTCAGACTAGCACAACACACACTAACACACCACCACCACGTCAGTGCTACTGCAGTGCTGATCAGAAAACCGTGGCGTAATTTATCATGATAACCATAAGTATCATCATTCTCTTTGTCTCTCATTCTTCCTCTCCTTTTCTTATTCTCTCTTTTCCTGTTTCTCTCTCTCTCTCTCTCTCTCTTTCTATTTTCCCTTGGTTTTCTCTCTTACTCTCTCTCTCTCTTACTTTTCTCCTCTGACTCTCTCACTCTGCCCATCCTGTTGTTTCCCCTTTCTTCTCTTTCTTTTATTTTCTCTATTTCTTCTCTGCCTCTCATTCTTCTTCTCTCTTTCTTGTTCTCTCTTTTCCTCCTTCTCTCCCTTTCTCTCTCTGTTTTGCTTTGTTTTTCTCTCTCGCTCTCTCTCTTTCTTCTCTGACTTCTCTTTCTTTCTCTCTCTCGCTCTCTTTCCTCTCTAACTTCTCTTTCTTTCTCTCTCACTCTCTATTTCTTCTCTGACTTCTCTTTCTTTCTCTCTCTCGCTCTCTTTCCTCTCTAACTTCTCTTTCTTTCTCTCTCGCTCTCTCTCTTTCACTCTGCCCCTTCTGTCTTTTTTATTAAAGTTTTTTTCTTCTCTGCCTCTCGTTCTTCGTCTCCATTTCTTGTTCTCTCTCTCTCTCTGTTTTCCTTTGCTTTTCTGTCATTCTCTCTCTCTCTTTCTCTGACTCTCTCTCTCTCACTTTTACTTCTCTTTCTTTTCTGCCTGTCATTCTTCTTCTGTCTTTCTTGTTCACTCTTTTTCTGCTTCTCTGTTTTCTTTTGTTTTTCTCTCATTCTCTCTCTCTCTTCTCTTCTGACTCTCTCACTCTGCCCCTCCTGTTTTTTTGTTATTTTATTTCTTTCTTCTTTGCTTCTCATTCTTCCTCTCCCTCGTTCTCCCTTTTCCTGTATCTCTCTCATTCTCTCTCTCCTTTTTTGCCTCTCTCGCTTTTCACCTCACTCTCTTGCTCTCTCTTTTCCTTTCTTTCCCTTGTAGCTTTTTTTCACAGAGAGGCAGGCTCTCTCTCTCTCTCTCTCTCTCTTCTTACTGTCCCCGTCACCCTCACCCTCTCTTTTTTTCATCCAGCAGGGCAGGAGACCAGCAACATCTGTTCAGTAGAGATTGAGTCAGGCCCGCGAGACAAGTAGTGGTACTGGAGAGAGAGAGAGAGAGAGAGATAGAGAGAGAGAGAGAGATAGAGAGAGAGAGAGATAGAGAGAGAGAGAGAGTGTCTGGCTCTCTGTCTAAAAGCCGCGGTGTCAGAGGCTCTCTCTCTAACTTGCTGTGACACTCTGGTCATCCTGAATCAGGCCTCAGCCTGGTCCCGCTGTCCGCTCAGGCCTGTGGGTCAGCCACCAGGGAACTGGGGCCTGGAAGGTTCGGTGTGATTGAAAGCGCCCAGAGCTCCTTCACTTCTGCAGCCTAGACAGGCTGGAAGGGCTGAGCGGAGCTCTGAACACCACTGATGGGAGCCTGTTTAGACAAGGCAGCCCTAAAGTCAAGCGGGTGTGGATTCATGTGCCAAGCGGTTCGCTGCTCAACGGTGTCAAGTGTTTTATACTGCATGTCCTCGAGCACAGCTGAGAATCGCACTGAGATGAGCTGTGGTTTTTCACCAAGAGTGGAAGTAACCCTTAGATAACAAAAGCATGTTTACATATGAGTTTGTATTTAGATACAGGAAAGAAGTACAGACTCAAAACTGTCAATGCAGAATGTAAACTGAATGTACACTGTTAGAAATAAAGATTCTGTGCAGATTTTTCATTCATCAGATCATATCACATTTATTGTCACATCACATTTACACAGGTGTGAAGGTGAGTGAACATTTTAGGTGTGTAGCCCCCGTTGTAGAACTTAAATACAAAAATATATAAGGAAAAAAAAATATTTAAGCAATAGAACACAGAGGGAGTGTGTTATCACAAAATAACATCACGGCTGTGATTTGGTCGCCGTAGATCATCACAGCCGTGATGTTATTGGCGATAACACACTCCTCGAGTGTTCTACTGCTTTAATACAACAGTTAAATAAATACAGTAATAAATTAATAAACTGGGCCGTAAACGCGGCGTTTAATATGTTTTAATGTTCGCAGTTCCTTCACCAAATTATAGTTCCTTAACAAGCAGCTTGTTGCTACGTCAGAGTAACGAGCTCCGCCCACTCGCTGCACAGCCGGCAGTTCGTTCTCCAGCTCCTTACACTAAATTCCCAAACTGTCATCACCACTGAGCAGCTTTTCAGTCGGCAGCTGTGACAGAAGAACAGCTAAACAACCTGGAATCAGCCAGAAATGAACCCAACACCATTCGCCAAACGTGTAGTCTGATCTTCAGAGTCTGACCAAATCAGACTGAGACATAAAACTGACGCAATATCAAGTTTAGCTCAGTTTTGTCCGTTTTTGCCAGATCAGTATTAATGTTGTTTTGTTCCAGCCAGTCTGTAAAGCATCTTACAGCCCGTTTAGTTTGGCGAATGGTGTTGGGTTCATTTCTGGCTGATTCCAGGTTGTTCAGCTGTTCTTCTGTCACAGCTGCCGAGTGAAAAGCTGCTCAGTGGTGATGACAGTTTGGGAATTTAGTGTCGTCTCATCTTCAGAGTCTGACCAAATCGGCTGTCGGTCAAATGTGATCTTAAAAGTTTCCATTTTCTGTTTGTGGCAAAGTAAGAAGTTAAAACGTTCAAATGTCTTGAGCGTCTCCTACAGCTGTCAGAGTCGTTGCTTAGCAACGGCGTCTCAGCGGAGTGACACAGTGTTTGTGAAAAAACGTGATGTTATGGTGAAATAACAGCGCGGTTAGAACGCTTCTCAACCAAGCATATGTTTGTGTGTGTATATATATATATATATATATATACATTAGACTCTAAATATATACATGTATATACAATATGCACATTTATATGCACAGTATTTCACCATTCCAATATACATTTTAGTAACAGTAATAAAAGTTATGAAAAAAAAGCTATTATATGTGTAGTTGTACAAATTTTCATATATGTAGTTAGTGAGTCTGAGGTACATAAATGAGGTGCAGGGTACACAAGGTATAGAATATTCATATATATATATATATATATATATATATATATATATATATATATATATGTTTATATGTGCAGGTATAGATTTGTTAGAGTGTACAAACAATGTAAATGTTCCCTCAGAGGTCCAACAGTGGGTTTAAGGTCTGATTGTGAACCTGAACCTGAAAGTTGTTCCAGGTGAAAAGTTCGTATTTGTACCTTTTCATAACCGAATGTTTTAAACAGAACAGTAAAATAAAAGCCTGGAGACGAGACGGGGTGTGTGGAGTCAGTACAGCTTAGAACATATCATTTCAGTGGATTATGGTTCAGTTATGTTCCCTGACTAAAGGTACTGAGATGAACCTTGGGGATCCCATCCTAGTGACAAGAGGGGAACCAGTGACAGTTTAGTACCTTTATTTCTGAGAGTGTGAATGTAATTTATGACGTAGTTAGCTATATATTTAATGATTCATTTATATAATTGCATTTAAACACTATAGCAAAATGACTGCTGTCTGTAGACGTCTCTGGGTTAAATAAACAGCATCTGTCTGGCTCTTAGATGTGGCTTTGCTCTCTGTTGTCACCATTTTCACATTGCATAAATATCCAGCTTCAACATTTTAATATTTCTTCCACTTGTCCTTGGCAGGAAACGAAGCCCGTCAGCATCCAGGGATCCGAACGCAGCGTACAACCAAAGGGAGGGGGTTGGAGGACTGCAGCATGCGCCGGCGGACCCTGGTATGCCTCGCTCTCCGTCCGACTACGGACGAGACCCGGGCCGCTCTCCTCGGGGCTCCAGGATGTACGAGGACCCTCGCTGGCACTCTCAGGACCAGCACCTGGACGTCCAGCTAGAAGACTATGAGCTCCAGCGGCGTCGGGAGCAGGAGGAGGAGTATCAGGCCCGTTACCGCAGCGACCCCAACCTTGCACGGTACCCGGTCAAACCACAGCCCTATGAAGAGCAGATGCGTATCCATGCCCAGGTGTCCCGGGCGAGGCACGAACGCCGCCACAGCGACGTTTCTCTTGCTTACACAGAGCTGGACGAGCCTCTGCATGGCCTCGGAGGGAGGCAGTCTCGACCGCCGCTTCTCGGAGGCCCGGGGCCACGCTCCTACTCGGTAGACAGGAGTTCACCGGGACCACGGACGTCCAATCATAGCCCTCCGACGCCCCATCGCAGCCCGGTGCTTGGCGAGCCAGCCAGGAGGCCGGTTCCCCAGCCACACCACCTGGACCCCAGCTCGGCCCTGCACAGGAGTAAGGTTGGACGGGAGAAGATGGACGGCATGCTGAGGAACGACTCGCTTAGCTCCGACCAGTCCGAGTCTGTCAGGCCGCCCAGGCCGCACCGCGGTCGTCACCGCACGGGCAAGCTCAGGGCCATGGGCAGCTTCAGCAGCTCTGAGGAGGAACTGGCAACCACACCCGAGTACACCAGCTGCGAGGATGTGGAGCTGGAGAGCGAGTCCATCAGCGAGAAAGGTGAGAGACGGCGCACGAGTGGTGGAATTATCACACGTGTAAATATTAGTGACGTATTATCTGGGAAATAAAGACAAATTTAATCCTCTTGTTGTGATATTACCACTAATCACCACTTTAAACCACCTTTGGGTTATTATTTTGTCAAAAACCTGCTCTTCATACTGAGGAAGACACTTTGATGAAAGGATTAGCAACTTGCTAGGACCTTAGATGATTGGCAGCTTATTGATTTTATGCTAAAAACATAAACAAATATAAGTATGTCATTAAACAGCGAGAAGTCAGAATCAGAAGGAGGGAAGGTTTCCCCAAACTTTTGACAAACAAACATACACTCTTAAAAAAGATCTTCAAGGGTTCTTTAATAAAGGCCATAGTTCTATTTAGAACCATGAGTTGTATATAGAACTGTTTGCATGCTTAAATGGTTCTTTGCATGGTGAAATGGTTCTTCAGATTGATGGAGTATATGGTTCTACATATAACGTTTTTGAAAATTGTTCTATAGAGCAACAAAATATTCTTCTATTGTTACAAACTCGACATTGTAACAATAGAAGAACCCTTTTTGGTCCTATATAGAACCATATACAACACATTCTGCATCAATCCGAACCATTTCACCATGCAAAGAGTTATTTAAGCATGCAAACAGTTCTATACAACTCATGGTTCTAAATAGAACTATGGCCTTTATTAAAGAGCCCTTGAAGAATCTTTTTTAAGTGTGTATATTCAAAGAAAATCAAGATATTCATTGGGCCTCTTTCTCCAACCATTCTTAAGAGGATATTTCTTCTTAAAACCCACTTGCGCAGTTTTAACGAAGATTTCACGAAAATGTCCTCTTATTTGAGATTTGTTCTTAGGTAAGAACCAAATCTACACACACTCAAGAGCACAAAGGTGAGAACAGGTTTGTTCTTTCTCAAGAACACAGTTAAGAGGAAACTTGGGAGGATATTGGAGAATGAGGCCCGAAGTTGATACGGCACCAGTTGAAGGTCCACTATGGATCAGTGGTCACTTGCATAAAACATCTCTGGCCTTATGTTTTCATTTAAAAATCCAGGTTGCAGTTTCAGCACTTGTTCTTCAAACAACAGTCAGTCAGAGAGCTAGAAGAGCGGAGGAACAGGTGAAGAGACGCGCAGGTACACCGCCTGAACGGTGGAGTGGAGACAGAGGAGCTGAGCGTAAAGCACAGACAAATAGGAACCCATATCATGTTTATAATGCTGATCCAGGCGTCTGGTCACTCTCTTTACAGTTTAGCTGCCAGTTTGTAGTGAAATGTTTCTCCAGCTCTCACTGTGATATCAGCGCTTCTCACCTCATATTAATCCCCAATTTGTGATTTAGCTGCACATAAAAGCCCAAACAGGTCCAGTAAGTTCAGCTCTGTTTGTGTCGTGTGATTTGAGGAGACCTGGGATTCTGAGTTCTTATCGTAGCCCAAACTCGTTATGTGTGTTACTCTCTCTCTTTGCTCTGTCGTCTAGTGTGAGCGCCTCACAACAACAAGACAAGCAATTCTGACGATAAGTTTGTGACGCTGTCCGTTTTAGAAATGTGCTCAGAGTGTAAAAGTCGTGTGGTGAACACCTAAAGCAGAGCAGGAAGAGGTTCTGTTAATTAAAGGAGTGTAACGATAGATTTTATTGATGAATCAGTGCACTCCCCGCTCTCAGGCTTGCTTGGAGCAGGTTTCAGCAGAGATTTGTCTGATAAATGTCTCAGCTGTCTGATAAATGACCGAATCACGTTTTCAGAGAAAACGCAAAAGACCCTCTTCGTTAACGTCTCTTTTATTGTAATTAAAAACGAATGGTCTGTGTCTTATGATAGCATGATTTAGCCATGTGCATGTTTTCAACTCTGTGTTGTGTTTTTTTTTTCTGTTTTGTGATGTATAAAATATTTTTTTTATTATTTACTTGTGTCAAAGCTACAACGGCGTTTTAGGGCCACTGTTAATAAATAATAAATATAGTAGACTTTGAGAATAAAGTCGTAATATTTTGAGAAAAAAGCCGTAATATTCCGAAAAAGTCATGCTATTTCGAGAATAAAGTCGTAATATTGGGAGGATAAAGTCCCAGTTAGCTATTGGGATAAGCTCTTAGCGCCTGTATCACTTCTATTAGAACACATGATGGAATTTTTTCGGTCAACTAATATTTGATAGCGGTCTGTTGACACAGACCATTAAGCCTACACAGAGTGTTGGAATGAGGAATGGGCGTGTTAGCTGCTTTCTCTCCTTTAATAGAGCAAATCGCTATATATTTCTTAATAATAAAGTTATATTAATTTACAAATGTTATTAAATTCTAGAGTCGTGTCTGCATAGCTGATACGGCACCCACTGAAGCTCCACTGTAGATCAGTGGTCACTTGCATAAAACATCTTTGACCTTAGGTTTTCACTCAAACACTCCATAACCTTAAATGAGCTGCGTAAACGTTCTCAGGGAAATGTTTGAGCTGAATGTAGACAAAATAATTGTAAATTGAATTTTAGAGCCTAAGTTGTGGTTTCAGCTTCATCGCTTTAAGTGTACTACTTAAGTAGTAGTGGGTGATACAGCAGTTCATCCAGTACCTTTGAAACTATTATTGAGGTATAGTAACCTTACTATGCCATGTGTAAGCTCAGATAATCCAACATACATACAGTTCAAAACATGCTAAGGTTATCCAGTTTAGCTGAATGGCTGAGTTAGGGAGGTTTCAGTCGTGTTGCATTGAAAATGAAATGCAGCGGCTGCCGAGTGGCGCCACCGTCTAAACGTTGACCCTATCAGCAGGAGATCGCATGGCCGGGAGTCCAAGAGAGCACAGTTGGCCTCGCTCTCTCTGGGTGGGTAGGATGGCCCCGTCCCCCCTCATCACTCAGCGCAATGCTAAGTCAGTGCAGGCGTCTGTTAGCTGACGTCACAGATCTGGCGGTTGGCGTTTTCCTCCGAGCGCGTTTGGCTGTCCAATGACGTTGTGTGAGCAGCAGTTCGAAAAGATGCGGCGGCGCTTCACAGATCTTGGAGGAAGCCTGTGCTAGCCTTCATCCTCCTAGCGCTGGTGGTATCGTGTGATTGGGGGAGTCCTAACTAGCTGGTGGAATTGGAAACAACTTAATTGGGGAGAAAATTGGGGAAAAAAAATAATAAAAAAAAGAAATGCAGCAATCATCTCTCTGAGAATTGCAGTCTGAGATAATGTTACACCACAACAACTTTTCAAGTGATTTTACTGTCTCAGACAAATTTCCAAAGTCAAAATGCGTCATGCTCGCATCATCTCGATCGTTTGGTGTAAGGTGGTCAGGGTAGCTGTCTTAAGTCAGTCTTTTTGTTGTCTTGGTGCTCTGAAAAAATCAACCGTTTTTGATATTATCATAAGTTTTAGTCTTGGCTCATGCAAAGGGTGACCCCTGTAACACTTGGAGTCAGTCTAGCTTCAACTTTCACTCCAATCTAGATAGCAGAGGGCTTTGGTGATGAGAAATAAGCAAATGGGACACAAAACACGGCGTAGATGCTAACCAGTGACTCAAACGCACTGTATTCTAACTACTTTATTAGCTAACGTAAGACTGCAGTATTCCGCTCAGTACTTCGGCACCTTTCGCGTTTCAGTAGTTATTGTATATAAGTAAAATAGGATGTTACAGTAGTTATTGTATATAAGTAAAATAGGATGTAATGATTGGTTTGACTCTGCAAAATCTGCTTAGCAACCAAAATGCATTTTGATTGGTCACATTTGGGGCAATACTTCTAAAGAAATAAGAAAAATATCATATGTATCATCAGTTTGTGCCGTCAGTATTCCATACACCAGCTTCCACAGAAGGAGTGGCTTTCCATACAGTGTTTTCCTGCATTTATTTTAGTTTTATAAAATCTAATTGCATGAAAATGTACATGAATTGATTATTTTCTTTTAAAAATGTAAATAATATAAGCAGTGTGTGCCGTGAATGAGGCTACCATGGAAAAGAAGCCTAGTAAATTGAGGCAGTGATGTGAAGCCATGCAGCTGCTGAGGGTCAGCTAAGGTTACTTAGCTGATGGTGTAAACTTAGATTAACAACTCAATATTAAATATACTGTGTTTCATGGTGATGATCCATTGTTTAATATTCGTTTTAGTGTTAAATATGTTGTTTCCCCACTCTCCATTTTTGGGTCACGGTCACTATTTACACAGATTTGATGTCCAAAAGTTGTTATCCTGAGATCACAACACAATTAAGTCATGATCTCAAGATAATAATCCAGAAAACCACAGCTCTTGACCTCTCCGACCTTCTGTAGTATTCCAGGCTAAAGCACTGGTGTTATTACAGTATCTGTAGTATTGCTAATACAGTGAGTGAAATAAGTCGAGGTGAGCCGCTGCCTCCACTGCCTTTCACTGCACGATTCATTGCAGACAGACATTTGTTTCTGACTCACAGAGACATGAGACAATTAAACGTGCACATGATTTTAGATGGACTTTCAAGACACTAAACTATCAGCAGTAAATAGATATTGATTGTTTCTCGGGATGTAATTATGGCCGGACCAAAGGTCTATAAGGGGAAGGAGAGAGTGGGAAGCTGGGTTAGATGGATGAATGAGGGAAACGTGAGCGAGAGGAAGAGAGGAAGAGAAGTAAGGCATAGAGAAAGAGAAAGAAAGAGAGCTGATGTATCACACGTTCTTAGAGGAGAATCTGTTCTGATTATTTACAGCAGGGCACTGTGGAGATAACGGCGCAGAGAGAAGTAGATAGCAGTTCTTTTCCATGTTAATGTTTGTCTTTGGCCTTGTTTACACCTGGTCACTTCCTGTGTCCGGTATCTGGATTGTGTCCTGCTAAGATTTTAGCCGCATGCTTTTACACTTGGTAGTCAAATGCGTCTCCGGTTAGTCGGACTGAAATCCGATTCTTGTGTGGGACGGAATATGCAAATCAGCTTGTTATGCAGCAACCAGTGGCCAATCGTTTAT